CTATTATGGTTTTTCGAATTTGATCGTTAAGATCATTATAAACAGCGTTTCTTCAGTTCGCATTAGTGTATAAAAGCAGCAATGGTTAGAAACTTTTGATTTCTACGGGCTTAAGCACGTATGATAGTGTGTGGCTTCTTATGAAACTTCGAATATCTTTTTTCTGGCTTAACCATAGATGTAGTTGTAATCCGGTGGTACCTGTAAGCAGATAACATTACATGGGTGTAGAAGTGGATGGGTAGTAGTTGACGGTGATGGAGGTAGGACTGAGGATAAGATAAATTAATTGAACATTAATCCCAGTCCAGACGATGGTCAATTGGATGGAGGTTAGCGTGCATTGTAGGACACATTAGGAATAGACGTTCAAAGGGATTTACAAGCAGGTATGTTAAAACTGCTTAAGTCATCATACATGTGATTACTTTATATCGTATTAATCTTGATGCTAACTCATTAACATCATACCAAACAAATACTAACGGATAGCAACCACTGTTCATTACAGTCACTTAAATTATCACAAACAGTGGTTCAATTTTTTATTGAATATATAAATTTTTATATGACTATTGATCGGTTTAATAGTCAAAATCATCACAAATGGAGTTGCTTGACTTCTTGTGGCCCTTTGAATGTTTAAATCCTTGCATAACGTCATGTTCGTAAGGTTGATTACTAATTTAGAAGAAGCGTTTAGTATTTTAGAAGGGGTGATTCTGATTTTAGCGAAATTATTCCGTTTTCTGATAAAGTTAGCGGAACAATAAAAGAAAAGGGAATATCATAAAAAGCAAATGAAGATCCAACTGATTTAAAATTACTCCATTTTTACGCAATAGGAATCTGGCCCGTTCTCCTTCTATATTACTCTTAATGAAGTAAATGAAGAAATTATTAATATAAAATTGTTTCATTTTTACGCAATAGAAATCTGATCTGATCTCCTACTATATTACTCCTTATAGTATATCAGATATCGTGCATGTTTCTAATCACAGAACTTTAGTTGGTTATAAATATTTTTGAAAAATCATCTCAGGAATCAAGTATTCTAATATCCTTAATTTGTAACTGAGATGGATTAAATTTATATAGTTTTTCTTCACATCTGTAGAATTATTTTTCCAATGCATTAAATGAACTTATTCTCAAAATTCCTAATGTTCTAATTATTAAAGGATTACTTATATTAAAAAAAAATTCTCACTTATAATCCTTACGATACATAACTGAATTACTTAATCCATAATCCTATAGTCCTCACTCAATATACTTAATATACTAATAATATTCCAATAATAAGAAGAATACTTATAATGAAATGTGAAGAATTCTAAGTTATAATCCGCCACTGTACGATTACCATACATAAATCCATATATCCCTTTGTGGGTTGCGACACAAAATTGTTGTCCATGCTTATGTATATACTTTTATTTTCCTTTTCATTTTGCCATTGTCATTTCTTATTTAACACTTCACTTTGGTTTCTTTAGTGATAATAATGTGCATTTTTTCCCTTCAGAATGCTTATGCCTATTTTTTGCACCCAGCATCCAATATTAATAAGAAAAATTTTATTGCAATTTTTATGCCCACAAAATATAAATGAACACAAAATCCTTTTTAGAGTGTGGCTGTTTTCATAGGAAACTCTTTTGTTGTGACACAGAAATTATTTATGCTCCAATAAATTCAATTTAGTTTCGATTTTTCTATATTTTTACATCTCATGAAGTTAAACTCAATGAATTCATGTGTCTTAATAAGGAGTCCATTTGTGTGGGTGTATGCCATGAAACGATGAAATGTAAATATTTTCATATGAAATTGAATTTGAAAGGATCTTAAATAAATTCACAATCTGAATGTATGCATATCGAATTGCGAAAAGTGTACAGCACTGCGTATGAGTGACGCACAGTTGAAGCGGGAGGAGGTAAAAATATGCAGGACAATGTAATTCGGGTATACAAAAATGCCATTCTTCTGTTCTTTTTCCTTTATAATGTTTCTTAGTTAAGCTGAAAATTATATTCCTATTAAAATTGAAGACATATTGTGCTTGGGTGTTCCCATTATTTATTCGAAAATATTCCAAATTTAACTGCATAAGTATTTAAAGTAAAGGAAATGGATCTTTTAAGAAAACGCTTCAGTCAATAAACTTTAAATGTTTCAAAATAGAAGATTACTTTTGGGTATAGAGTATCAATATGTATATAAGTCTTTGTTAATAATTTGTAATAGAAAAATTTTTACCGATTAGTAGTGAAATTACAACAACAAAATTTTTTATTATTTTTAAATAAAAAAATTAAAACTTTTTATCTTGCAATTTTATTATTGTTCAATAAACCTCTCTATTGAAAACAGTGGTTTATTTAATAAAGATTCTCAAGTTTAATTAAGTTTCTTTCATCAATACGGATTAATAAACAATTTAATAATATTTATTTAATATATAAAAGGATATCGCAACAAAATTTTAATATTACCAATTGCAATATAGGACTTCCAATGGTTAAAAGCTGTTTTGTTATGCAGTATAGGTTAGGTTAAGTGAAGTGAAAGGGGTGATGAATCTTAATGAATTAGCTGCAAAAGTCCTTTTGATGCTATATTCCTTGTAATAGTGTGTAGTAGAATGGTCATAGACGTCCAGTGTTTTTTACGTGATTTCCTGCCATCGATGGCTTAACACCACGGTGCCCTTAACACACGTATTAATTTAAGCGTCAATCAACGCCCCATTGGAATAGCCTTCCTTATTCCGCCGATACCAATGAAGAAATTCATGCAAGTTATAACTTCCACCTTGGTAAGATGCGAGGCCTACCCGCTGACCTCTGCGGATCTTTGGGTCACAGCACCCGGTTTGATACGCATACCACGGCGAATGAATGACAAGCAAAACATTCTTTCCGCGTGACTTTGGGTATTAACCACAACCACTTCGACCACTCCAACACCAATGGTCAGCAGAGCCGAAGCTGTCGGGCCACTGACCCCCGAAGTACCAGATAGTATCATCTCTGGTCAGATGTCGCAAGTTGCCGCCCACAACTTACTACCATTCGCACTTCTTGCATAAGTGCCAGACTGGCACTGGGGGATATTAGTCGCCTCTTACGACAGGCCATCCTAACCGCGGGAGTATTATTTTTCCCTCTCCGCGGTAGAATGGTCATGTAAGAATCAGCCGGATGCAATGATATAAGTTAGTATCTAATACTAATCCTCTACTACTAATCACTACTAATCCTGTAATTATCGCCGAGTATGTTGAAAAGTAAGGCACCTAATAACTTAAGCCTGGATATGTAGTATTCTTCAAATAATATATTTTTTTTCTAGCACCCAACTCACAATTCAGTTGAATTGCAGTTTTTCGTTAGGTTCTATATTTGGAGCAGGTCGGATATTATATAAACTACTTCTAATTTCCCCAAAGTCAGCGGTTTTATGTTTGGAGTATATGGGTTATGACGCTTTTATTTAGCTGCTAAAGAAATAAAGCAGATCCAGTCATCTTCCATACCGTTATTTAGCGGTAAGTTATCGGTTAAGGCCCACATTATCTTAAATAACTTCGATTTACTCCCATAGATTAAGTCAGAGCTTTTATATTTGGAGTGAAAGTAATGGATCACGTCGTTTTATAGCCTAGTATATTGTTAGGACCGATATTATAGATAACTACAATTAACATTTTCGGCACACATTACTTTCTTGTTATGCAAAGGTGGATAGTTAGCACCAAAAATATTCTGTAATAGCCTTGTACTGGCAATTTGATTGTTGATGCAGGAGCACGATAACGACAAAGCAAAACCATTGATTTATGCAGATGACCAAAAAATAACTTCTGATCTCGTTGTGAGATAAAATTGTTCAAATTTGATCATTAATGTTCAGGTGATTATTATATTTGGTCTAATTATAAAACATATCATATTATTTCCACAAGTACTTGCAGAAAAATATTTGCTCCAATGCCCTAACGTCAATGTAATGTGTTTCGTAAATATCGGTAATATGATCAATTTTTGATCAATTATCTATTATCTGAGTTATCTACAATTATATTAAAAGCAAGACTTTATGAAATGAAAAATGTTAAACCAGCTTATAGCGTTACAAAAACGGAGAACAGTGATGTCATGCCATGAGGTTTATGAGATCTTATGTAAATAATCTTCTTGAACTTTTATCGGACATCAACACGATCAATTCTGAAGTGTACTGTCATCCATTAATCAACCTGAATTAATAACCCAAACAAACATTTGCAGTACTAATTAATAGAATAGATGTAATGTTCTACCAATATAAAGTGAGATCTTACACAAGTTTGTTAGTTCTTCTTAAGCTTTAATAGTTTGTATGGGATGTATGACCACATCCAACGCATTCTCCAGATCCGGATTTCATATGATCGCCTGCTGAGGGCTTTTAAAAAGTTTTCAAATGGTAAAACCTTTAGATCAAATGAGATCTTAAATTCTGAAGTTTTATGAAATTAGTAAATAGAAAGGTGGTAAAAACTATTGGTCTGAAAACTGAGAATATATAATTAAGTAAATTATTTATTCACTTTAGGAAAACTACCATATAATAATATTTTCTGGTTAAACCAATATTAATTATATATAAAATATTGTAGTTAAATAGATGCTGTGTTATAATTGAAGTTATTATAAAATGTATTTTGAGAGATTGGTTAAAAATCCCACTAACACCCCAGATAATGTCCTCACATATCTTTGTAGTGTTCAATTTACACACATTATATTTGTAAGTGTAAATGTTATGTATGATATATACTAAAATTTTCAAAAAGTATGCAGTTAAATTATTGAAAAATCTGGTAACATCAGTTTTACAAAAGCACTTTGACAACCAGTAAAAATAATTTTCATTTGAAATTTTTTTTTCCTACTAGACAGTTGGTTGCTTTCATTTCAGTTTTGTTAGTAACTGGTTCAGTCTCTTTCTGCGCTCTAAGGATCAAGGTTAAGATTTGGATTACTAAAAGTCTCTTTGTGAACTACTTCTAAAATCTGTAAGTACGAAAATTTTATTCTATATAGCATTATATAATATAATAAAATGTAAGAATAATACATAGTATATATGTAGTATATATTGACCTATCGACATACTTTTAACTATTTTAAATGACAAAAGTTTTAACTGTTAAACTTTATTGCCGATTTACCAATCAGTGATAAACTATAATATTTTGACATATTAAAAAAATTTAGAGAATTTAAATAAGAATTTAGCTGACATATTTTTCATGACCTTCTTCTTCTTCTTATTTGGCACTACAGTTCAGTATGAACCTTGGCCTCTCTCACGATTTGCCTCCATCTGTTCCTATCTTCTGCTATTCTCTTCCAGTTCAGTACTTCAATCGTTCTTGCATCATCATACACGTCTCATCCCATCTTGTTCTTGGCCTACTTCTGTGCCTGGTTGTCATCGGTTTTGCGTTGAATATGCTGTTCGACCCCATTTCTATTACATGAGCAGCCCATTGCAACCTTTGCGACTTAATGTATCTCACTATATTTTCGTTTCTAAGCAGTTCTTCAATTTTATTATTTGTTCGTCTTTGAAAAGTTTCTGCATTTGGATTGGCCTGTAGATTTGGTGAACTTTTTTTCTTTCAAAAATTTTTAAAGCTTCTTCGTCCACGTTCGTCATTGTCCATGTTTCTGCCCAAATGTAGCTACCGGTCTTATTATTGTCTTGTACACTCGTAGCTTACTTTCCTTGGATAGTAGTCTTGATTTCATTAAGTCTAAATATTTGTAAAAACATCTATTTGCTGCATATCCAATATTTTTCATAACCTTAGTATTTATTGGGTTGACATCATTTAAAGTTTCTGTTGAAGCTTAATCCACTTCCGTCTATTATTGACAATGGTATACGAGTATAAAGTCAAGTTGATAATTTCTGTTATATTAGTTGAAAGATATTATAATGTGATGTGCTTTGAATAAAAAAATAACCATAAAACCTTAAATAAATATAATTTATAATTTTAATTTATTTTAATTTTAGTTAAGCTAATTTTACAAGAGGAACTCGTGGATCTTTCTAAAATGGAAACTACAAAGAATTTGGAATTACCTTTGATGCTGTGGAATCTATTGAATCTGGATGACTCCGAATTAATATCTTGGGGACCAAAAGGTGATACTATAATACTCACTAAAAATGCTTGGAACACCTACTTGGCAAATCCTGTGTTTGATTTGAATTATGGCGATTGGGATGAATTCTCGAATCAATTATTAAACTATGGTTTTGATCTTTTAAACTGCAGAAAGGATCAGCATAAGGGTGTACTCGTCCATATGAAGCATAAGTTTTTTCGTAGAAATAGATTTGATTTGCTTTCTAAGGTTATATGTAATACAAAGTCTAAAACAAGTGTCATCAATCCTCCAAAGATATCTGAAGGAAAAACAGGTGTTATAAGTCGTGATAAATTGGAGCAACTTCGAGTTTTTGCCGCTATAAGATTTAATTCGCTAAAAAGGGGTTTAGAAATAACTAATACCAGTTCAACCGCGGAAAATTCATTGGGTTGTAAGCCAACTGTTATAGAGCATCCATCTGAGGGCAAAACAGATGATGAGCCCATGATTGAATTTCTTACTGATTGTGCTCCGACATATGCTGGTTATTATGGAGAATACACTATAGAACAATTGAAACAATTTTTCGGTGATTATTTACCTAAGTATGGCCCGAATAGAAAAATAATTATAAAACCATTCAAAAAGGAATTTCAAACGTAAGTTTTAAATTCATGTTATAATACAATAATTCAAATAACACTTATAAACATAATATGTAGTTTATTAGATAATGCCAGAAATAACATGGGTAGACCCAAAATTGCTCGGAAATTTTGTAAAGAACAAGTTGGTACTCAAAATTATATACCATTATCATCGTCCGATGAAGGAACTTTTATGGAAAGAACAAACGCGCTGCATGAAATAACAAAACCAAGATATCAGCGAAAATTGCTCAAGGAGAAGATTGGTACACAAAATCATATACCAATATCATCTTCTGATGAAGGTAATTTCATTGAAAGGACAAGTGTATTTTTTAATACTGCAAAACGAACTGAAGATTTCTCGGATTATGAATTCTCCGATGATGAAGATGAGATGGGAAATGAAATGTTGTCTGATTCAAAAATGAATGAAGATGATGATTGCGAACCTTCTAGTAGTAAAAAAATGAAATTTTCTGATCCGGATGAGGCAGAATATTATGATTTTTTGGAGATGATAGATGCCAACTCTACGTTACAGGAAGATGTTCCAGTTCCTCAATATGTACAAGAGTTTCTAGATAAAGCGGCTGAAGAGAAATATGAAAAAGAAGACATGCGCAAAGATTTTTCAGATGGAATTAAGGATCTTATAGAAATACGCAAATAATTTAAAACTTAACAGTTTTACAATTCTAGATTTTATAAAACCAATAATAAAAACAAGAATTAAAACATTATCCTATCTATAGAAATTATTAACATACGAAGCACAGATTAAAATATAATTGCTATATAAACAATTGTTATTGTTTATTATTTTTTATTATTTGTTATTCATTATAAATGGTTTATAAATTATTTATTTTTTATTATTAATTGTTTTATGTTAATTATTTATTGTTTATTGCATATTTTCTATTAACCGTTATTGGATTACTTCTTTCATCTATTATTTTTTAACAAATATTTATCATCTATTAGATTTCATCTATCATATACCATCTATTATACATGATTTATCTATCATATATTAACTATCATCTATTATCTATATGAATTATGTATTATCTATTTTTTATTATACATCATCTATCATATATCATCTATCATCCATTACACATCATCTATTATCTATTATGTATTATCTATTATGTATAATCTATTAAATATTATCTATCACCATTAACTATTATCAATTATATATTATCTATTATCTATTGTTTATTATCTATTGTTTATTATCTATTATCGGTCTATCATCTATAATTTGTCATTTGTGTTTATTAAATATCATAAATCATATATTATCATAAATGTGTTATCAACGTAAATAAAGTCTAAAAAAAAATCAGAAGTTATTTAAAACCAGAAATCAAAAAATTTTTGGCTTTATTAGTATACATTGTGATTTAGACTGAAGAGTTTGCCACGTATGTGCTTCTAGAATGCCCTGCGCTAATGCACAAAATGAATAGACTCTTGGGAATGTATATCCTTACGGAAGAGGCAATGAAACTCTATAGAGTAGGTTCTATACTACTTTTTATTGATGCAACAAGACTAAGACATTTATTCTAAACGCAGAAGGGGGCTCTTAATTTTAAATAAGTCTGGCAACTTCATCTTCAATCAACTCTTGCATACTTTTAGGAGTTTCCAAAATAATAACATATTAAGTAACTTGAAGAGAAATAGGTAATTGAATACATTAGAAATCTGACTAGAGGAAAATACAATATAAAATTCTATTGTATATTTCATAAGATTTTTTTTGCTCCGTTCACCGAGCTTAACTGTTGATTGTTTTATTACTGTTTCCTGTGGCAAAAACGTAAAAGGATACTAACGATTTCAGAATGCCAAAAACATGAGAAATAGCAGCAAACAATCCAATGGAAACGTTTCCACTCATTGTGCCTGCAGCGTATTGCACATAATTATTGTTCTCGTCCTGGGAGTCATAAAGCACCGAAAAGTGCTTATTAATTCATTTTCATTCGGAATTGTGCTGTGTATGGTTCCATGAGTTGACACTGACCAAAATAACATAGCATTGGGCGGATATGTGAGCTGGGAAATCAGCATTTGAGCTGAACTCGAATAAAAACACATATACTTCATTGTGGTTATATGCAACACATGTGGAAAAAATGTTAAATGTTATAAAATCGCTATATAATGATTAAAGCAGTTGTGTGTAAAAAAATAAAACATTTCTTTGTATAAAAAAATAAAGAGAAGAAATGTAATTAAGTAACCAAAATAAACGATTTAATGATAAGCAGCTTTAAAAATTTATGAATACTTATTTATTTTATATAAAAGGGTCTTGTTTCGGTATGCCACGATGGGTCATAATGATGTATTACATTTTAAATTTATATTGTTTGATTGATAAAATATTAACTGAAAATATAATGAATGCATATCAATAAATTTAAGATTATTGACTAAGGCGAAGTAGACCACCTTTTATGTGTGGCGGTCACACCATAAATTAATTAAATAGTTACCTTTTTGATACTTAAATTAATTTTTACAGGTTTTTAAGGATTATTATAATTTTAATATAATGGCATTTGTTAACTTCAAAATAAATTATATATCCTATTATTTCAGCAATTGTGAAAAGTAGTAGCAAAAATATTCAAAGACTTTTTTTAAGATAATACTAAAAATTCTAAATAAAATTAAAACCATGTTTTTAGATGTGTTCTTTTTATGGTCACAACATAATAAAGAATTTATTTTTAAATTCAATTTATTGTAGTTTTATACGTATAAACTTATTTACTTAAATGGCAGTAACAATGTGATATAGTTTTGTCCTGACGGAGCAGTCTTGCAGCCACTTTTGAAGTGCGGTTAGTCCTTCCTCAACTTGACCATGCTACAGAAATCACTGTTACACTGGATTGCATCATTTATTCTTACGACAGGACCAAGCCAGTAAAGTCAGGTATTAATTCGCTGAATTATAGCAAAACCGGCATAAATCTTGTACACTTTGTGGTTCATACGGATGCGGTTATCGTCTTAACTCGTAGAGAATCAAAGATCTCAAGAAAACTTTGCTCTCAAAAACTCTCAGTGCTGCTTTAGCATTCTGTGATAACGTCCATGTTTCTGTGCCATAAAGAAGCACAGGTAGAATGAGTGTCCTATAGAGCGCAAGTTTTGTTCATCGAGGGAGAGAGAGTTCTTCATTTTAATTGTCTATTGAGCCCATTGGCAATGTTGATTCTTCGTCTGATTTCCAGGCAGCTGAGATTGATATTTGTTACGGCGATACCAAGATAAATAAAATCCGAAACAGATTTGAAAGTATAGTTGCCAACTACCAGCTTGTTGTTCGAACGACGTACTTGTCTACCAGTAGACGCCATATATTTCGTTTTGTCCTCACCGCCAATCTCATTTGGGTAGATCCTTTTTCGATAGCAGTAAAGTTAGTTCTAATATCGCGCTTGCTAAGGTCAATGATGTCGATGTCGTCGGCTTAAGCAAGGAGCTGGAGACATATGCAGAATTTTGTGCCGTTACGATAAATACATGCAATATTCATGAGAATTTTCATAACGAAAATAAAAAGATCACATGATAAGGGACCATATCGTCTAAAGTTTTGCACGATATTATTTTTTATTTCTGCCAGGGTTACCAATATATTGCATTTAAATAACAGATAACTGAAATATATGTAGTAATATATACTACAGCCATAAACGTTTTAAAATTAAATTTTGTAAAATTTCAACAAATGTAATTATATTTTCTTCTCAAAGCTGGATTAAAGAAAAGTGAAAGTGTGTTAAGAACAAACCTTGTTATTATGTTTAATGTTTGAGTAGTTTAAAATATTAATAATACTATGCAAGCTTAGTTATAATTAAAAGCACATATTTGCACAAATTGCTGTGGGTAAATGCGTTATGAATCCTTACAGAAACTAATGATTCTCAAACATTCAAAATCCTGTGAAAATCTGTGTTGCACTTAACAGGAAGAAGAGCTCAGATGAACGCTTGTAATCGAAAGCAATTTTGTAGTGTGTGTTTTTAGGGGCAACACAAATACAAAACAAAGTTATGCCGTTGGTCATTTTCCTTGCTGGCAGTCAAATTCGATTTTGTATTTTTGGACAAGTACCTTGTAATTTCCTGCTCGAACCACACAACAATGTCACTGAGTGCTGCTATCAGAGATTGAGATTACTATTAAGGTAGAATTTTGCATTTGACTTTGTTTGTAGAAGGTTAGAGGTTTTGTAAAAATA